GCGTCCACGCCTCTTCTCGCCTCCTCCCCTTCGATGACCTTGGCCTTACCCCTCAGCAGCCACCCATCACCCAGCCCACCGCCTGTTTCTTGTTACCAGTGACTGCACTGCCTCCAAGCTATGCACCCAGGCGTGCCCGTCCCTCCCTCCCGGTGGTCCGTGTCCCCTCACCTCGTCTTCCCTCTTGGCACCTCCAGTAGCGCTCACCCTCAGCTGAAGGGCTCATGGGGAAATGGCAATGATCCCAGACGGGCGCCTGGCTGGCTCAGTCGGTGGAGCGTGCGATTCTTCATCTCGGGGTTGTGAGTTCGAGCCCCACGCTGGGGGGCAGGGGTAGAGATTACTTTTAAAAAGATAAAATCTTTAAAATAAATAAATAAATAAATAAATAAAATAAAATAAAATAAAATAAAATAAATAAATAAAGAGATCCAGGAGCTTCCGCTGTTCCGCCACCACGTCAGGCCCCGTCTGCCCGCACCTCTGACCGTGGTCCCGCCCCCTTCTCGTTCGTTCCATTGTGCAGTTTTATCGACACTTTCTTACGAAGTGGAAAGAGGGCCACCGTGAACAGCCGGCCACCAGCCGCCCCGATGTCACCCCTGCCAGCTTCCCATACTTGGCAGTTCTCATCCCTCCTTCCATCGGCCTGGTTTGGGTACATTTCCAAACTAAATCGCAGACAGCAGTACCTTTCAGCATACGCCTCTCCGGGCCCGGAGTTCCGGATTTGTTTGTGGGTGTCGTTTGTGTCTCTCGAGGGAACGTGGGTGCGGACTGAAATGCATAAATGCCAAGCGTGCTACGGACGCGCTGAGTTTTGACCAGCGCGTGCCCGACGCCTGGTCAGGGTCTAAAATGCGACCGTCGCCTCAGGAAGCTGCCCCGCGCCTCTCCCAGTCAAGGCAGGAGGAGGCTAGAATCTTGGGAGGCTGAGGGCGCCCTGCCTGGGAAGCAGGCAGCAGGGTGGGGATCTGGGACCATCCACATGAAGAACGGTCAAGGCGGACGGCCCCGAGCTCTCCCCCCACTGTCCGCTCTGTCCTCCCCGGTGACAGCACCGCGGCCTCACCGGAAGGCTCCACTCCCCAGGCCTCTTGTATACAGGTGGCCCCCTGCCAATAGTTCTGGCCAAAGAAAGGTGGGCTGAAAGGCTGTTCGGCACTCATAGGTCTGACCCAGTTAAAAGCTCCCTTGGTCGACCCTTCCATGCTTCCCCATGGCACCCTGGAGGCCACATTTTGAGGACAGAACATGGTAAGGGAGGAGCCAAGGAACATCCCCACTGGGCAGTTTCTGAGCAACTTTTATCGTGTTCTGGGGCAGGTTTCTGCAGAGCATTCTAGTCTGATACGGAAATTGGAAATCACGAGTGGGCTTGCACTATCACCCAAACCAGAACCAAGTATATGTGGTATTGGCTTGGCAGTTGGGTGACAAGCAGGACGAACACAGAAAAACGGCTGGGCGGCAGGAGGGCTCTATTACGCGAGCCCACAACTAGGTTAAGGCACTTGAGCTAACGCGGGAGGCAGCTTCTGTGCCTGGTGGGCCAACTCCAGGGCCAGGCCAGGGTGCTGATAGGATGCGTGGGGCGGGGCGGCTACTGCGTGTGGAGAGCCGTGGGCTCAGGAGAGAAAAGGCCTGTCTGCAAGCCGACATGACAGAGAACCCACAATGGGGGCATCGAAAGGTTGGAAAAGGAAACTTGTGTCCAGAAGTCAAACGGGAAGAGCTAAGAAGGAAAAATGCTTCGAGCACTCAAGTCCTAGTAAAAACGTCTCGTGGGGACAAGGAACTCAGCCGCCTGGTTAAGTTATCAAGATTTACGGGGTCACGCTCCTACGTTACCCCAAATGGCCCCAACAGTAGCTACCAGGAAGCACGGGGGTAAGGCGGCAAGGAAGAACTGTGCATGTGTGCCTTTTATCTACGGCTGTGTAACAAACTGCCCCCAAACACGGTCGCCTAAAACCACCCCACACGTGATCTCCTGTGATTCTGTAAGGGACCCTAGGACGCCTCCCTTGGGGGAAGGGATACGCTCTACGTGCAGAAGAACGAAATCTGTATTTGGTGACCGGAAGGCCAGCTGTGACAGAGACCAGCCGCGTGTGACCCGAACCCACTCCCGCCCCCCCCGGGCCCCGCCGGCCCCCCGCCCCCCCAGACCCCCCACCCCTCTCCCCCTGCTCGCTCCTTCCCCTCCCCCGGCACCCCGCCGGGGGGAGGGGCCCCCCCCCCCCCCGTCACGGTGCCTCGACGGCTGCCTCGACGGCTGCCTCCCGGCCGGTCTCCTCCCCGGACCCGCTGAGGCTCACGCAGGCAGGCATGAGGACCCGCTCCTGCCCGCCTGTCTCCGGTGGGAGACGGGTACAGATGGGAGTGAGGGAAGAACACAGCCAGAAACCGCATCATGATACAAATGATAAATTATATTTGTACAGTAAATAAGTATCAATAGTCAACACAAGTTCAAAACCAGCCACCGGCCCCTGGGACTGAGGAAACGGCTGGGCGACCCCCCTACCACAGTGCCCATCGGGAGGGAGCATTACAGGGGTGGCAGTGGCCGGTGGCTTCATGATCAGTGCAGCAGGCGACAGGGACAAGGCGCCTGGGACGGGCCTGGGCTGGGGCAGCCCCGGGCGGCGGGGGGGGTCTTCTGGGGCCTTGGCGGCCCCGTGGCTAGAACGTTGGGGCCTCAAAGTCAAGTCAGGAAGGGCTCTTGACTGTTATAAAAGAATCACTGACCCAGTAGTCAGGTTTGGTCTACTGGCCTGTGCGGGGGTCCAGGCTCGCACCATATGAGTGAAAGCACCTCCCCGGGGGAGCGACCTGCCGGGCCCCAGCCTGTCTCCACCCTCCCCCAGGTCGGAGGCGGCCAGACCGGGCGGGAGCCCGCGGTCCAGCCCCAGGTCTCCGGCTCTGGCGGAGGCATGGCCGGTCAGGAGCTCCGGCGGTGGCTCCTCCAGGGGGACAGCCTTGGGGAGCAGCACGGGTGAGCTTTGAAAATCAGGCAACAGGAGAGGCGGGAGAAGGCTGTTCTCAACGCTGCCTGCTCCCCTCCAGGGCAGGGCAGATTTCCTCCGGGAGCTGGGCGAGGGGAGGGGGCGGAGGAACAGCAGGGGGTCGGCTGCCCTTGGGAGTCTGGGGGAGGGGGGCTGGGAAGGGGGGAGAAGTCCACAGTGGAAAGCAAGACTGGGGCGCCCACCAGGCAAGGTGACGTGACGGGAGGCAGGGTGGGGGGGGGGGGGGTGGGGGGTGGGGTTCCCTTCCCTGGGGGAGATTCGCGTCTTTTCTGGTCTTTCGTGAATTCATACTTTTCTTCTAGTGGTGGGTGGGGCGAGAGGAGAGGAGAAAGTTGGGAGAGAGAGGTAATATTAGGGCCTGTTTGTTAAAAATCCATGTGAGAATGACTTTTTTTTTTTTTTTTCCCCTGCCTCTCCAAAACAAGAGGTGATTATTTTGAAGTCTGCAGTGTGTGTCTGGAGTCAGCAGGCGGGTGGGTCGGGGCCAGCCCTGGCCGCTCACCCCTCTCGGCCTGGAGGCCGTCCCTGGGGAGCCCCCAGATGCCGTCTCCACGCCACCCCCATCCTTACCCTGAGTGCGGATTACGAGAGAGATCACAGACACACAAGTTTCAAGATGCCTCTTCCGTTTCAGATTTCCACTGGAAGCGGAAGTCCTCGTTGATCCGTGCATGCCTTCAGTTACAAAAGGGAACTGGCTGATAAAAACCGGTGGGTCACATTCATCCGCTAGATTTTCTTTTTTTTTTCCTTTAACTTGATGTTGGTGGAGCAGTAAGAAAAATAGCCTCTCTCTGAATCTAGCCCAAAAGGCTGCAGGTCAACCCGTTTGGTAAGTCACCAAAAAAGGGAGTAAAAGAAAGGAAAAGGCAACTGGAGGCTGGGTTTTTGTTGTCGTTGCAGGTTTTTTTTTTTTTTTTAAATAAACATCATCTGTCCTATGTAATCAAATTCCCATATTTTTCCCTATAAAGAATTCGCTTTAGTTTTTTTTATAAGGCATTTTTTTTGTCTCTTCCTATTTAAATTTTCTTTGAGTTAAACCATAAATAAGAGGGTTTAAACCACTCACATGACACGTGCCAATATCTTAATTCAGCCAGACCTGGTAAATTCTATCAAAACTAGACAGTTAAATAAGAACCACGTTATAAAAATATTAGCCAAAAAAAGACTATCAGATAATTCTGCAAACTCAAATATGAAACTGTACTAAACAAATTATGTGCAAACGTATACAAGCATACAGCCAAGTGGCAGGGTTATGCTCAGATTAGTTTAAAGCTTGCTCTAGTGGATTTAATTCAAGAGTTGTTCCACGGTGGTGTGTTTACTTTGAACTCACACACGAGTCAAAGAAAAATAAAATATGCACAACCACTTCCCCGAAAAGATCAGCGTCTCATGAAGTCAGTGCTTCATTCTGTCCACACCTGGGACCGCCTGGGGGTGTCGCTGGGGCTGGGGGGGGGGGGGGGGGGGGGGGCAAAGACGCGGCGGCCATCCCAAGGCCCTGGGCCAGGCAGCGTCCCAGAGGCCCTCAGGCTGAGGCCTCCCGCCTCATCCCAGGCCCCAGAGAGCGAGCCAATCTACAGAACCAGGACCTCTGCGCTCGGGAGGAAGCGAAGAGGCGACCAGGCCCGGGTCGGGCCCCTCCCACGGGCAGCGGGCGGGCGGCCTCGGAAGGCGCGGAGACCCACATGCTGTGTCTGACGTCTAGCAGGCCTGCCGCCGCTCGAGTCTGAGGGTCGGGGCTGGGAAGACAACCCTTTTATCAGGAAGCCGGGACCGGGAAGCCCTAACACCCCCCCACCCCCCACCCCCACTCTTGGACACCAGTCCACAATCGAGAGTCCCTGCTCGGCGTCCTCAGGCACAGAGGCTCTGGGCATTCGCTCTGTGGTGGGTCCCAGGCCCGGGCACTAGAGAAGGAAAGGGTTGGTTGTGCCGGCGGCCTGAGCTGCCGAGGGGGGGATGCCCACGCTGCCCACCATGTTCATCGAGGCGGGGCCCAGTGGCGTCAGGGAGGAACCACTGGCCCCCAGGGCCGGGTGTGGGGCCGTGGAGGTCATGGAGGCCACAGCCATGGGCTCCACACCTGGGCTAGGCCCAAAGGACGTGCTGGTCCCCAGGACTGGGCTCCCCCGCAGCTGGTTCAGCGTCAGCGGCTGGGGCTGGTTCACCTGGAAGGGGTTGACCGGGGCAGAGGCGGCGGCTGCACCTGGGGGAGAGAGGCAGTGGTAGAGTCAGAACAACGGCCGTCCCCAAGCCCAAGGGCGGGAGGTGGTGGTGACCGGCAGCACATGTGCTCCGGCGTCTGCCCCTTTGGGCACGGGCCGGGGTGCTTCCCAGGGCCGGATGCTCTGCAGGGCCCGGGCGCCAGCCAACGCACGCCCCGCACGGCCCGCGCGTCCGCCGGCTGCAGCTCTGGCCTCTGGTTGGGGACACGAAGGCCACTCGGAGCCTAGCGACTCATCTGGAGTCACAAAGCCTGACTCGGGCAGTGCCGGGACCGTGCCTACTCGCAGCCGGCACCCCAGGACTCCCTCAGCAGCAAACACCTGGGGCCGCTCCCCTATTCGGTTTGCCGAGCTCAGGACCACAGGTGTCCGGGAAAGAGGGGCGCAAAGGGGGAGCTGGGAACCTCAGCGTGCGGCTTGACTGCCTGTCTCCACCCTGGACCCTGGGACCCAAGGGCTGGTGTAATAAAGGCTCTGAGAAGCCCTGCAGTCAAGAAGCGGATGCAGCTCTGTCTTATCCAGCGTTTCCCGAATTTATCACACATCATCAAGCCTTTTTCCCGAGCTTTTAGCAAAAACCTGTGCTGATACTCTGCCAAAACACCCGCGAGCTGGCAGCACGGAGGCTCCAAAGCAGCCCAGCCCTTGAGCACAAGGGCTGCCCGCTGCGGGGCGCCCCCAATCACCACCAGGAGACGCTGCCCGCACTCCATCCCACCCGGGGCGGGGGCAGGCCCTGCTGAGGGCACAGCCGGGCGGCCCCGCACCTGCCCCTCTCGTACCCCTGCAGATCAGCCCCGCCAGAGCTGAGCCAACTCAGAGGTACCAGGAGCCCCACCCCACCCCACCCCGAAGGCCAGATGGCGGGGCACTGGGCAGGAAAGGCAGCCTGGCTGAGACACTGGGTTCGGATCCAGCTCCACCCAGGGAGCGAGGAGCAACCCTGTCCTTGCCCATCTCAGGACCATGGGGGTGGGTAGGACCCAGGCACTCCATATCCCACTTCTGCCCTAAGGACCCCACCCTCAGCTCTTCTAAGTCCTGGGGTCCTTCTCTGGCAGGGGCCTCTGAGAGGCTATGGCCCTGGGCTGCAGATTCCGCTGTCTTAGGGAGGGTCTCAGTCTGAATGCCCTGAATGTGACACATCCTGGCCCTTGGGGAGCCCACGGCCTTGCTGGACAATCGGGGTGGGGGACACTCCCCAGGAGGAGAGGGTTGTCTGGGCTGGATGCTGAGGATGACCTATCTCCCACTGGAAAAGAGGAGAGAGGGCGCTCCGGGCAGGGGGAGCACAGGGTGCAGGCGTGAGGAGCTCGGCGCCCCGGAGGGTCTGAGCGCACGGCCCCAGCGGCCCCGGACTCTAAAGCAAGGCCTGGGGGCTTGTCCTGCAGCCCACACAGAGCCTTTGAAGGTGCAGAACAGGCCTTTAGACAGAGCCTGGCATCAGGGAGAATGCATACAGGGGACGGGAGTTCCCAGGCGGAGTTCCCAGCCCCGGAAAGACAGGATCTGGCACCTCGAATGACTACACGGAGGGTCTGTGGGCCCCTGGAAGATGGCCCCCCCCGAAAGGGAAATGTTGGGCAGCAAACCCAGGCTCTTCCTCACCCGGCCACTGCCCTTCCCCAGCTGACCGAGAAGTGGAGCCCGCTGGAGGGTCTCCCTGGCCAAGGGCACCAGGTCCGGGGCAGCTTCTGCTCAGCGGTCTCCACTGAGAGCTGAGAGGAGCTGGTTCCCACCCATCCCCCCAAGCACACATCGGCTTCCGCGTCCCGCCCCCCCAAGGCCCTGGAGAGGCCCAGGAATGCCAGGCATGCCTCCCGGTAAGGCAGGAGGAACCCCAAGAGGCCGGAGGAGAGGTCAGGGCCAGAGGCCGGCCCCAAAGCCAGTCAGCAAGGGCAGTCAAGGACAGGGAGCATACCTGGTGCCAAGAAAGGGTTGAGGGACTGGGCCGGCGGGGCTGGCCTGGTCACCAGCGAGTCCAGGTTGACCAGGGCCGCGTTGGGGCCCAGGAAGGACTCGGGTGTTTTCCGGGCACTGCTGGGCTTGCTTGAGGCGGCGGTCAGGGGCTGGCACTCAAAGGGGTCGGGGCTTGTAGTTTCGTTGTTTTGGGACGGTGGCGAGGTCACGGCCTCAGCTACAAGACAAGGACACACAGGGGCCCGGTGAGGAGGGGGGGCGGGGGGGGCCGACCCGCGCGAGACACAGACGTTCCGGGGGACACCTGCAGGGCCACGCAGAAGACGGGGATGTTCGCTGCAGCGGTGCTTGCAACAGGCCCGGCCAGGGACAGTCAGCCACGGGGCGGCTTACAGAACCCCCGGTCGTGTAACCAAAGCCAGAGGGCAGGGAAAGGAGAGCTCCCGACAAGAGGGCCGTGTCACGTCACGGAGAAGCAGAAGCCGGAAAACAAAGCGTACGGCAGGATCCTCCAGGTGATATTTGGGGCTGTGGGCTAGCCGTGGGCAGTGGCTGTTTCTCGTGTGTCTTCCCTGTCAATTTTCTACAATGGACATGAATTTCTTGACAGAGAAGAAAAATTATTTTTTTTAAAAATTCAGCCAGCGTGGCAGGGGGGTTAAAGGTTTTTAAAAATGGTCATACTCTCCACTCGGGATTCCCATTTCTAGGGATCTAGTCTCACGAAATAATGCGAGATGGCAACGGGGACTCAAGCACAAGAGTGTTCACCACAGCGTTATTTACTTCGGCAAAACCTGCAGTCAACCAAAAGCGCACTCCCCTAGAGTAAAGTTCAAATCCGTGACTGCTGAGCAATACAAGGTATTCCATAGCTATGGACTATTTTCTAAAGAATTTTTAACATCACGAGAAAATGCTTTCAATCTGTTATTCTACGGGGGGTGGGGGGGGGGGTTGCAGGATTCAGTGCTTTCTGACAGTATGAGCTGAACAACAACAACAAAAAAAGACCGTGTAAACAGAGCTCAGAAGATATGCTGGAAGGAAACAGCGGCTGAAGTAGGGAGGATTACAGAGGAGTTCCGTTTTCTTTCATAAACTTTTCCAAATTTTCTACAATGGAAACAGCTCTAGAATTGGAGGTAAATCATTTGTAAGTGTACAGAAGGACTGTCCACGTAACAAGGCCACACTGCCTTCTCGCTGAGGCACACACGCGTGAGCAAGGACTGTTAGCTTGCACTCTGCCCTGGAGGGGAGATGCATGGAATTTTGTTTCTTTAACGCAGCAAAGGAAAGACCCCAAGCAGCAGTGCGTTCTAAGTTGCCTCTGGTCCCCTGAGCTGAGAGGGGGCCAAGGGGTGGTCAGGTGTGCCAGGCTGCTCGCACCTTAGACAGGGGGGCCAGCCGGGCCTGTGGCTGCCGCTGGGGGAAGCGGTGGGAGGAGGTGAGGGGGAGGGGGTGGGGGGCAGATGCAGATGGGGGGCGCGGGCACAGGGAGAAGCAGAGAGAGGAACAAGGAGAGAAGCTGCTCTATGTGGTGGGGGGTGGGGGGCCCTGGCTCGGTCCCCAGCCTCTGGCCTCCACCCCCTCCCCCAGCCCAGTCTCTCTGTACCCCACCCTGAAGCCCTGCCATCTTGGGGGCACTGGGCCAGGGCTCTGACAGGAGCTGGGTGGGAGCCACAGCCTGGGGTGATCAAGTGGGGGCAGAGACACCCTGTCCAGGCCCACAGCTGGGACTGTCCGGAAAAGGGGCACCGTGGGGAGTGGGGGAGGAAGGCATATGGAGACAGTGGTTCAGATGGTGCGGCGGGGGCCCAGGCTGGGCTGGGGAGGCCAGGGCGGGGGGCTTGTGCCGGCAACCACGAGGGGCCTGGGGGCAGGGCCAAGACACAGAGGTGAATGAGACAGGAAGCATGCGCCCAACACCGGGAGAGGGTGAAAGAAAATCTCAACCCCATGACTTTTCACTGCTGATGTGTGAATTCCTGCAACTAGCCACTTAAAAGCTCCCAAGATCAAAACACAAAGAAAATACATGAAGTTGAGAGGTTTTGAAAGCCGATTATTTCTGCCATAACTGGACTGGTCAAATGCACAGAACGTTATGGAAACCATGACCACATTCACATACCTGTTTTTTTTGAAGTCCGGAGGTTGTCAAACTCAGAAAAGTCATCTTTAATTGTACCATTCAAATTACTGAAGAGATCAAAGGCCCCTGGGGGAACACAAGAGGCTGGTGACTGCGGGTGCATCACGACTTCGATTCTGCTTCCCGGTCTACAACCTTGGGGGGTGCTGGCCGAAGGCAGGGAGGGGATCTCTACCCCGGGTCCTGGGGGAGAACTGAGAGCCAGATGGCAGCTCGGGGTCACCCGGTGGTCTAGCAGGGGGCCGGGTCAAGGATCCTGGCCTCCCCGAACCTGGCGTGGGGGCATGAGCCTGCCACTGCTCCCACCAGCCCCACCCCAAACTGAAGGAGGGGCTCACGCGGGGTGGGGGTGGGGCGGACTTCTGAGCCGGGTTTAGAGACCTGGATAGTGCCTGGAGGAAGCTACTGGAAGGAGTGCCTAGAGCGTAGCCTGCCCAGGCCCCCTGGGGAGCTCCCTCTGGGCGGAGGTGCAGGGGCCCAGAAGGCCTGTGATCTCAGCATTCACAGTGGGCTTGTGGCACAGAGAGGGGCACTGGGCGACTGGGGACAAAGGCTGCAGGTGACAAGGGTGGCAAGTGCAGACAAACCCACAGGTCCCATGCAGAGGAGCCGGGAGAAGGAAGAGCAGTGCAGCCAACGGGGCTCTCAGAGCCTGGGCAGAGCGAGGTCTCACCAGAGGACGAGACGGGCTTGGCGGCCGAGGCTGCGGCCCAGGCATCCGCTGTTTTCCCGGCACCGGGGGCAGCCTGTGGCGGGGCCGCCCAGGGGTCTGAGCCCTTGGGCCCGGAGTGTGTGCTGCTGCCAGTGGGCACGCCCCACGGGTCCACGGAGGCAGCTGGCTTGGCACCTATAGGAAGGCAGGGTAGGCTCAGCTACGTCCTCAGAAAGTTCCGGAAAGCTGGGGTGAGAAAGGAAAGGGCACTGGGCCACGTGAGCCACACCCGGGTCGGCCCCATGTCAGGACGGGCGGCCACCCTAAGGGTGCTGTCCCAGGCCAGCAAAGCTGGGCCGAGCTGAAGGCCGGGGCCTTGGGGGTTCCCACCCTGGGGCTGCACAGGGCCCGGCCTGCTGGGAGGGTACCAGACGGCACGCAGCCGCAAACTTTCCCAAGTGCCTGCCACACATGGTCTTGCACGGAGCTCCCTGAGCTACGTTCAAGGCCGCCTCCCCAGAGTCCACTGGCCTCCTCCGCAGAGCGAGCCCTGCGCAGGCATCCGCTGCCCCGGCCGCGCCCTGGCCCCACCTGCTTTGAGTGGTTTCTGCTTTTGACAGAAGGCGAACAGAACAGAGGACAACGTGAAGAGGACCCATCGACAAATGCCGTTTTCAAACAGTGAGTGACAAATCAGTTTAGGGGGTCACAACTGGCCTTTTTTAAAAGGGTGAAACAGAAACAGCTGAGCGCACCTAACGGAACGTGTCGCTCCCGTTGTGTGGACCTTTCATCTGTCACGTGTAGATGCGGGCGTTACTGCCGCTAAGCGCGTACACAAGTGAGCCATGCCGCGCCTTTCTTTGAGGACGGTCACAGCCGACGTTTAAAAGCCACTGCTGCCTTTCAGGGAGCAAAAGTGCCTCCCCCCTCCATGGCACCAGTCACCCCGATCTTCATGACTTTTGTGTTCGCCCTTCCCTTTATCTCTCCTCGGGTTTTACCCTGTAGAGGTACCTTTAGACACCCTATCCATCAGCTGTGCCTACTTTCATCACGTTACACAAACGGAAACACCGTACACGTTCTGGGCGGCCGGCTTTGTTCACTCCACCTTTGGGAAGAGTTCACCCGCGTTGATGCGCAGCTGAAACCTGTTCCCTTTAACCGCCCTAGAACCTTCCACCCTAGCTGGGGAGGAACCACAGCTGATCAGTCTGCCGAAGGCACTGGCTTGGCTTTTTGTGGTGCTGCTCTTTCTTCTCTTGCCCGGGGGGCACTTGTACCCGTGAGGACCTCAGCTCGGGGCTCCCTCCCCTCCGCCGAGTGACCCCAGGGTGGTCTCCGCGCACTCTTGCCTTATGTATGCTGCGAGCACGCAAGTCCGGCTCCAGCAACTGCCCCCTCACCTCACTAATGCTTCCTGCTCACTTTTCCACGCGTGCCAATCTGGTGGGCGTGCAAGGTCACCTGCCTTTTCTTTTTTTTTTTTTTAAGATTATTATTTATTTGACAGAGAGGGAACACAAGCAGGGGGAGTGCTGAGCAGGGAGCTCGATGCAGGGCTCCATCCCAGGACCCTGGGATCAGGACCTGAGCCGAAGGCAGACCGCCTAACGACTGAGCCACCCAGGCGCCCCCCCTCGGCTGTTTTGATTTGCATCTCGTTGCTCCTTAATGAGGCTGTGCCTCTTGTCATTTGCTTATGGGTCTTCCGTGATTCCTCCCGTGATTCCTCCCCTATCGTGTGCGTGTCCCAATCTTTCTCTGCCTTCCTTTGGGTGTTTATCTTTCTCTTCTTGCTTTGAGAGTTTCTTACCCCCGCTGTGAATACTGTTTTACTTAGCTTACAAAAGAGAAGAATTTACCTCCCAATTTGCGGCTTTTCTTTTCACTCTCCTTAAAGTAGCTTTGGACGAGCAGAGACGTTCTTAAATTGAACGGGGTGCAACCTGTCAGTGTTTTCCCTTCTAATTTGTGCTTTTCCTGACATTCAGGAAAGCCTTCCCGACACCTCAACCGTCTTCCTCTTTAGCAAATCTAACAGGTTTACAGTTTGCCTTGCGTGGTCACATATTTGCTCCATTAGCAATTGATTTTTGCATATGGCATAAAATACAGATTCGATCTCAGGCTTTCCTGCCCGAACAAGTCACACTGGCGCCTCCACCAGAAGCCACGGCTTCACAGATTCATTCCTGGGCTCTCCGTTCTGATCCACTGACCCCTGTTTCCATCCCTGTGCTTTCTGGATTATCCTCACAGATACTAGAACTAAGAAGAACTATCTGGTACCTGATACCTTGGTCTTGTTCCTCGGGAGTATTGTGGCTATTTCCAGCCCCTTGCTCTTCCATAATCATTTTAAAATCATCTTGCCAAGTTAAAAAAAAAAATTTAAAACTTTGCTGGGGGGCGCCTGGGTGGCTTGGTTGGTGAAGCATCTGCCTTTGGCTCAGGTCATGATCTCAGGGTCCTGGGATGGAGCTCTGCATCAGGGTCCATGCGCGGTGGGGAGCCTGCTTCTCCCTCTCCCTCTGCCGGCCGCTCCCCCTGCTTGTGCTGTCAGGTAAATAAGTAAAATCTTTAAAACTAATAATAATAATAAAAAACTTGGTTGGTATTTTGATCAGAATTGCACCAAATCTCAGATCAATTTGAAGTTAACACCACTGTTTACAGCCAGTCTTCCGAAAAACCAAAATCACAGGACATCTCTCCATTCACTTAAGTCCTTCTTTAAGTGAGTGATTTCAAGTGAAAGATTTCAGTGAAAATTTAAGTGCAAGAAAAAGAAATGAGAGGAAATTTAAGTGAAGATTTAAGTGAAAGGTTTCAGTGAAAATCTTTTTTATTTTATCCTTTATTTCCATAAGGGATTCATTCATACAACTGTAAAATCTATTTCTAGGGACTGACGTGTATGTGTGCGTGGGTGTGTTTTAAGATTTTATTTCTTTGACAGAGAGAGAAAGCACAAGCAGGGGGAGCAGCAGAGGGAGAAGCAGACTCCCCGCTGAGCAGGGAGCCCGATGCAGCGCTCGATCCCAGGACCCTGGGATCATGACCTGAGCCGAAGGCAGACGCTTAACCAAATGAGCCACCCAGGCCCCGGGACTGGTATATTTCTAAAATTTCATTGTTATTCGTTTATTGTATGCAGAAAACATTTAATTTTATGCACTGATTCTGGCAGCCCACAATCTTATTAAACTCTCAAGTCTAATAATTAAAATTCACGCAAATTATTTATTCTTAGAATTCTAATACCTCTTAATTATAAGAGAGTTACTCGGGTAAGTTTTTGGATAGTCTCTGTACGTGATCATAACACTTGCAAATGATGATGGCCTGATTTGTCCCAGTCCTTATACCTTTTCCTTCCTTTTCCTGTCTCACTGTGCTGGGTGGGACCACCAGTCCCAACGTAAAGAACGAGTGTGCATAGTCAGTGTCTCTGTCTTCAGGATCCGTTTTCAACATTTTACATTAAAACATTAGCATTTACCACTTTCAGGCTTTCTTCCTTCGAGAAGCCCTTTATCAGGTCATGGAAGCTCCTCATCACTCCAAGTTTGCTAAGACTTTTGCAATGAATGGCTGGAACCAGTTTCTGTCTCTATTAAGACGACAGCATGATTTTTCTCTTTCGGTCTGTAATATGGTACACAAATAGGTCTTCTAAGGACCTGCTCCCTGTGAACCAAGTTCCTCATGATGTGCCATATCATTTGTATAATTTTCATTTTGGATTTGCAATTGTTTCTTTGCTTTTTGCATTTGTACTTGTAAGTGGGGGTGGCCTGGCAGGTCTGTTCTCACACTGTACGTCCTGTCTGGTTTTGGTGTTAAGGTTGTGCCCGTCTCATAAAACCAGGAGGGACACTCCCCATTTTCCTGCCCTCTGAAGGAGTCTGTATAAAGGTGGAATTGTTTTCCTGACTGGTGTTAGAATTTGCCGGCAAAGCCCTCTGGGTGGATTGTGGGGTGGGGAGGATTTTTAAGTCCTGACTCAATGCCTTTAATGATTATAGCACTATCCCTATTTTGGGGTTTTCTATTGTTCTCTGGTTGGCTCTGCTAAGTTTTCTTTCTGAATTTATCTACTTTAAGTTTTCAGGTTTGTAGGCACAGAGTTGATCAAACACAGCCTCTTACTCCACCAGCAATCTTGGCAGTTATGTTACTGTGTTTCATTTCTCACAGTGTCTGTGCCTTTCCTCTTTATGTTTTATTTTATTCTATTTTTTTATTTCAAAATAGTGTTTTTATTATATAAAAGTGTAAAAATCCAGCAAAACCAGAAATACCGGATGTATTTTCCTGGGCTTTCACATTTGTTGATTTTTATTCCCAATCTCTTTTTCAGCACAATTTACAACCTCAACCCCATTTGCAGTTTGATTATACAAGTGCTAAGTGGCAGGAAGGTCTAGAATAAATACATCAAAAAAAGAGGCCAAGCTGTGAAACTAAGTTGCATGCAACAGGTCTATGAGGGTGGGGGAAAGTGTCTGGGAAATAAAACGGAGTAAGACAAAGCAATTGGAAGGTTTTAGCTAAAGTTCTTTCAGTCATCTTTGTCTTTTGCTCCATGTTTAAGGATGCGCGTAAACTCAATACAATTGAAATTTCCCTTTTTGTCGACAGGCGCTTCTCTGTACAGCTCATCCACTTCCTCGTCTGTAAACCGATCTCCCATGGTTGTCAGCAGCTCTCTCAGGTAATCTTCCTGGATGGTGCCAGCTGCTTCTTCATCAAAGCAAGCAAAAGCGTTTCTGATGACATCTTCTGGATCTGTGCCATTTAACTTCTCACCAAACATTGTGAGGAACATGGTGAAATTTATGGGCCCCGGAGCCTCATTCATCATGACCTCAAGGTATGCATCGGTTGGATTCTTCCCTAGAGAAGCAAGCATATCATGCAAATCCCCCTTGTCAATGAAACCATCTCTGTTCTGATCAATCACGTTGAAGGCCTCTTTGAACTCCTGAATCTGCGACTGGTCAAACATGGCGAATACATTGGATGTTGCGCGCTGGGGGCGCTTCTTGGTGGTCTTGGTCTTTGCCTTTTTGCTTGACATGGTGGCTATTTAATTCGCCGCCAGACACCAGAACCCGGGCTGCCCTGCGCGAGACGACGAGCGACGGCGACGGTGGCTGGGCTGTGGCGCGACAGCGGCGGCGGCC